ATTTATGACGTACAATAGTCATTCATAGTTTATGATTTTTATGACTAAATGAAAGGAAAATATCTCACCTTGAATATATTTTAATGTTGTTTCTTCGATTGTATATTTGTATGCAGAAAAATATAAGTGCTCCCTATGAAGCACCAACACCTCTAGAGGTTGAGGTATCGCTGTGTCCGGACGTGGGGACACGTGTCCGACACACCACATGGTGTGTCCAATAATTTAATTTAATTTTTGGAGGCAGACACGGATGGGGACACGTGGGTGCATCTGTAAATTTTTTAATTTTTGCGGGGGTCAATATGTTGTTACTTGAAAGTTTTGGGTTAAAACATAATTAAACGTATAAAAGAACATATCTCCAGCGAATTAAACCCTAATCTGCAGATGACTTCACAGCTCTCTCGCGATGTTTCTCTCCTTTTGTATTCTCTCTCTCATCTCGGTATGTCTCTCTCTCAGTCTCTCACTCTCTCACCCAAAAAAAGTTTGCATGACACAGGCTCATTTCGTATATGTATATAATAGATAGACTGATATATACAATCAATATGTGGCCGCATCTTCTTAATTGGATTTAAATATGAGGCCGGCCAAGTTATTGATGATCTTAGGATGCCATTTTGTAGATCTATTTCTGACTTTCACAATTAACTTGATACTTAACTTTTCTTATCTAATAATATATCATATAAACTATCACAAATGATGCATCTATCATTAAGAATTTCATGATGAATCACTCGATGAGATTGACTATATTCAAAAATTGAAATATATATATATATAGTCTGTTTCACATGAGGGAGTCCTCATTTTAGTTAAAATGCGGACCTCCCCATTTCTCCCCTTTCCCGATCGAATTTCAATGATCCGAGCCGCTCAATGTGATCAGAATGTCAATTTAAGGCAGGTCTGAAAATGAACTCCTTGAGATTTCTCGTTGAAGGCATATGAAAGTCAACTGTTGGATGTCTTTGCAGCTAAATAATCGATATATTTCAGTCATAAGATGATATGATTTCCTCGTGAAATGCTAATTCCAAATGGGCCAAAGACATGTCTCAGCTAATAAAAAAGTCTTTGCCCCAGAGAGTAGGTATTAGAGCAATTAAGAGAAAAAATGTCCTCTCATTATGTTTTCCCACAAAGATGCTTATTGAAGATTTCGCCCCTATTTATATTTGAAGATTTAGGTAAGAATTGTGTCATCCTATCAGTCAGTAAGCACCATGTCATTCTACCGACCTGGAAGAGCCTTGTTGACGAATCAGGAAGCACCGCGTTCGACCAATAAAATTTACCTAGTTGCATTATCCAACAAATAGTATTTGACTATGTTGTCCAGCCAATAGAAACTTTTTCTTACTGGTGAAGTCATTAATTCACAACAACAATATACTCATACACAAATGCACAGATATAGTTCAGACTTAGTGTAACTTGGAGGTATAGAGTTTGACTAACAAGTTGTATTTACACATTCTTAATCATTGGAATTGTTTTTGACAATAATCGCAAGGCAAGTTTAGGCATTGTTAGAGCTCCAGAGTCCAGACGTTCTAAAAGCTTAAGTGGTTAGGAAACGGAGCCAACAAATGCATACACAAATGGGAATGATACGAAACGAACCCAAGAATGCACCTGTTAGAAGTGTCCATTCTTCTTAGTACTTGCAGCCAGCAGCATCAAGCTTCTCTCATTTGGTTTTTGGAAGGTTAAAAGACCAAATAAAATGAAGTATAACTTGGGTTCAGTCACTGGTGAAGTTTTTGCCCTCTTCCCTCTTCCCTGTTCTTTGAAGTACTCGTTAAGTAGGAAATAAAGCATCTGAGTAAAACAAAATCTGGCCAAACTTTATTATTGAAATATTTTTCATCGCTCTTACGTAATTTTTGTCAGTTTTGCTTTAAATTTCTTTGTTTATTAGTTTGTCTCGATGAGAGAGGTGGAAAAGTAAAATAAAATAAAAAAGTTTTCTAAAGACAAAAATAATTCAGAAACTTCACCTCTTTTGGATTGTTTGTCTTTAGTTAACTTTTCAAAGTTTTTGAACATAATTTTTACTTTTTAGGTCCCTCTAGTTTAGACGGATAAATAATTTCGGAAAAGAGGTTGATGCAATCTTATGAAACTAGTCCAATAATAAAGTTAGTCCAAACCTACCATAAACCTTCTTGAGGCTAAGATAAGGTAAAGAAGGAGAAGTCAGAAAATTTGCGGCGTATATGCCTGTGCAGCAATTTCCTTTGAGTAAGATGTTTAGGGATGTAAGAACCACACACTGTTTTAGGAGAGTGTAAAGTGGAAGTGCTGTTTAATCAAGACAACAAAGCATAGTGAGTACTAAATCTAATGGCCCTTTTAATTACTTTTGCTGGAAGACTAATTGCAAAAACGATAGTGACTATCTTATGTTCATCAGCCTGGATGGCTCAAGTCTAACAATGTTTGAGCTGAGGAGCCTGAGCATATTGGTGAAGGAGGAGGAGCTAAAGTGAGCTCAGTCTTGGCTTGCTTATCTGTGAACAAGGTTGTTGCAGGCCTTTGGTTGTAATATGTGGAAACTTTATCAAAGATAACTCTGTTGGCAAAATATTGAGGCACTGCCTGTTATGAAGATTTTTCTTCCTTTCTTCTCTGTTGATTATTATTTCTTCTTTTCTCTCTCCAGGGTGCATCTCCTGTGGCTAGAATGCTTGCTGTTTCTGTAATCCAAAATTATGCAGAAGAACTTGAGACCTATGTTTTTGAATTTTTAACTTCTTGCATAGTGAACAGAGATGGTGTACGGAGTGATCTTAAAGAATTTTACCATGAAATTATATATGAAGTCATCCAGTATGCTCCTCAAATTCTTCTGAATGTCATCCCAACCCTGACTCGAGAATTACTGGTTAGATCTTCCTTTTCCTTATTTCATTTAGTTTTTGCAGCATTGAATTTGGTAACAGAGTTATAGTGGATATTGTGAACGTATTATTGCTTCTCTGTGTATCTTTTGGACTTAACTTTAATTCCTTATCTGTCTCAGTTTTTGGGAAAGTGATAGTGTGGTTGAAATTTGCAGGCTGATCAGGTTGATGTTCGGATAAAAGCTGTTAAGTTTATTGGTAGACTTTTAGCTCTTCCCGGACGCCATCTTGCCCACGAATATCACCAGCTCTTCATAGAATTTACAAAGAGATTCTCTGATAAATCTGCGGAAGTTAGACTTGGTGCTATATCATGTGCCAAAGCTTTCTACATGACCCATCCATTAGGGACAGAAGCACTTGAAGTTCTCAGTAAGTTGTACACAGTCTATGTCTTTTTTGGCTGTGGTGTCCTGGTTTTAAATTAATTCCTTCCATTTCTGGATTATACTTGTTCTATGGTCTTACTCTTTTTGTTGAACAGCTGCGCTTGAGGGCCGTCTTTTAGATTTTGATGACAGAGTGAGGACCCAAGCGGTGGTCGTCGTGTGTGATTTGGCCAGGGCTAACCTGAAATCTGTCCCACATGAACTAATATCTCGGGCTACTGAACGACTTCGTGACAAGAAGGTACCTTTTAGGAAGCAGATTCTTTACAGTCTCTCAATGGAACTAGACCATCCAGTTTGGGACCTTTTGGGCCCATCTCAGGCCCATTTTGGTGGGGGTGATCTTCTCTGCATGGCCTATGAGACACCAAAGCTGACTCTGGGTGGGCCCGAAAAGGACGAATGTAGACAGTCCAGTCCCACTTAAAGGCTGGACAGAAGCTTTTCTTAAATTTTTTTAGTTTCTGTGTGATTGCTTTAACTGTGTAATGTATGACTGTTACTTGATTCTTACCATATAGGTTTCTGTTAGAAAGAAAGCATTGCAAAAGTTACTGGAAGTTTACCGGGACTATTGTACAAAGTGTGCTGCTGGTATTGTAACACCTATTGACCAATTTGAGCAGATTCCGTGTAAAATATTGATGCTTTGCTATGATAAAGACTGTAAGGAGTTTAGGTACGCTTGGCTATAAATACTTTCCGATTAAATAAAGCAGCATAAATATTGCATAAAAGTTTGATGCAATCTTCTCTTATTATGATTCTTCAGCCCTCAAAGCATGGAGCTTGTGCTTGCTGAGGAACTGTTTCCTGCTTCTCTTGCAATTGAGGAGAGAACACGGCATTGGATCTTTCTGTTCTCACATTTTGACTCTCCTCACTTGAAAGCTTTTAATGCTATTTTATCTCACAAACGAAGGTAATGATAGTCATATTTTTTTTTAAACAAGTAAATAATTTTTCTTTACAAGTTCTGTAAAATTCAGGTTGCAAGCTGAGATGCAAGTGTACTTGGCTCTCCTGAAAGAAGAGGTATAATGGAAGTCTCAGTGCGGTTAAATTTCTTGGATGCTTTGTGGTAATTGAGTTATTCTGTTTATTTGTGTGGGAGTGATATTTGGAAAAAGATGTTCTTGATGATAAGCAACTAAGCCTTTTCTTGCATTTGCTTCTATTGAACCTTAGTTTGATGGAGAACTTCTGATTACTAGGACTGAAGAACATGTATGTAGAAAGAAATACAAAAAGAAAAGTACATTCTAAATTTGTACATACCTTTCTAGAACTAAAGCACTTGAATGCTTTTAGTAATTCGTAATCATGCTGTTATTTGTGTCCAAATGACATAATATCTCTGTGTCAGAAAGAGATGTTCTTGATGATAAGTTATTAAGCGGTTTCTTGCATTTCCTTCTGTTAAACTTCAGTTTGACGATTTAGGGACATTTATGTACACATTAATGCTAAAATAGAAGGAAGTACGTTCTAGATGTTTTACATACCTTTCTAGAATATTCTTTGCCCATCTATGAAATGGATAGAATAGATGGGGTATATCTTTATCTCTAAACACCTAGTTGGATAAAAATATGGATTATAATATTATATCTGTATCTAAACTGTTGTTTAATTGGTCTGTCGATGCATGTCAATTAATTTGTTTAATTGCTGCTCATTCAAATTAATCACATGTCAGGAACCAGATTTGAACTAGTGATTTGAGGATTTTCAGTCCTCTGCTCAACCAGCTGAACTATCCTGAGCATTCGCGATGCATCATTTCATTTTACTAGATGGTTGGGGTCTATGTCAATTTAAAAAATGAAAGGGTATTACAAAGTGTTACCCAAGCCCTGCAATAGGGTAGGGTTTATTTATGTGTTTAGGTTTCAGAAATATGCAAAGCTTATTGGTCCTTTGGACCTGGTGAATTATTCTTAAGTTTCCATTAGTATTTTTCTTTCTGGATGACATGAAGTTTGCACATAACAAAATTCTGGGGACATGGATGTTTGGAGTACTTGCAGTTAGAGCACACAAAGGAAAAAGATCTACATGGAACTCCCAGTGATCTAACTGTTTTCCTTTTGTTGAAGTTTGACTTATTATTCCACATGTGGATATAAATGAAGTTTTGTAAGTTAAGTATAGACAATAACAAAAGTTTAATCTATTTGATGTTCTTTTTGTGGTATATATGTGGTCGTGCCTGTATATAAAATCCTGTTTCTCAAATCAAAGCTGGTAATTCTTTCCTGTTTCCATTTCTTGGCATGCATATTGTGGAACATGGTTTCACTTTATGGTACTTTAGTTTTAATTAAGATTGCATGCAGGGTTTTTGAATGCTGTGGCCCAGATTTGTTTTTGTTGTTTTCAATCATTCTGGTTCTGTACTGAACGAACCCCTTCATTTTCATTGTATTTTCAGTTTTTCTCTTTTTGGAACATAGTGTATGGAACCAGTATAATTCTGTTGGCCATTTGTTTACAAAATATGGGTCTTAGGGCCCGTTCCACTTTCTCCGATTACCTTCTTTTTCAAAGAGAAGGTAATTTCAAACTCAAATATAATGGAAATGAAAAATAATTTTTTAATTTTTTTTGCACAGTTTAAAAGTTCTCAATGAGATCTATCAAACAAGATCCATAGGTAGAAAAATTATTTGCGTAAACACATGATTTTTGAGGTTGAATTACCTTCTTTTTCAAAAAGTATTTTTTTGGAGAAAGTGGAACTGCCCCTTAGCCTTTCACCTTTTCAGAGAAAATTTTCCAGCCAAATGACCTTGTATGAAGTCAAATCAATAAGGCTCTGTTTGGAACTTAGGGAAGGAAAGAGAAAAGAAGAGAAGAGTAAAATCAAAGATAAAGTTGAGAAGAAATGGGAGGGAAAGTTGAACTTGTTTTTTAAACTTTTTCTTCGCTTTCTCTGGAAACCAAACAATGGAAGGAAATTTTTTAAAACTTTCTCTTCCTCTTCATTTCTTTCCCTAAGTTCCAAACACACCCTCAGTCTCTCAGAATTCTGTCCTTTTATTCAATGGATACTATAATAATTGCAGAAGTGGTGTACTCTAGTGCAAAGGAGATTTATTGCATGGAGTCCTATGCTGCATGGAGTTATTCTTTTTTCATTTGTGATTCTATGAATAATGATACCTTGTGCTTATTGCAGAATAATGGCTCTGAAGAAGTGCAAAAGGGAATTCAAACCTCTTTAGCCAAACTATCATCATCCTTCCCAGAGTCCTGCAAAGCAGAAGAATGCTTTCATAAATTGAACTTAGAAAAAGATGATAGGATTTTTACCACATTGGCACAGTTGTTGGATGAAGTGAATTTGAAAAGTGCGGAGTCCACGAGAGTAAGTTATTGGATACAAACCTTGTCTAGCCTTATTCCGAAATATCTCGTTTCTCCATTCTGCCTTTGATTGTATCAGTTGAGGTTTTGGTGGCCAATTACATATTTTAGATGGTTTATTTTAGGTATGATACCTTCAAATCCGTTTTCTTCTTGTGTTACAGAAGGTTGTGTTATGTTGGTACTTGTCTGGGGAATTGGGGAGCAATATTACTGATTGTTCGGTATAATGTGAGCCCTTCTGTGATGATTTTCTGTTTGAAAAGTTATTTAGTTGGATAAGCTGTGCAGGAATGATTAATTTGGTATATTGGGAGTAGATCTTCTGTGAAGAGAATGATATCATTTGGCTATGAGTAGTGATGCTTAGATTTGGAATTTTCCCCCCCTACCCTTTTGAAACTCTTAGTGCCATAAATCATTTACGTCAGGGAGAGTTCATCACCCCGGCAGGGTAAAATGGAAATTATGATCCATGTAGTCATTCAGCTGTGTTAGCTATAAGGATGTGATCACGTCATCGTGTTCGAGGCACCTACGTCTGGTAATATAAGATATCAGTTATGCCGGGGAGAGTTCATCAACCCAGCAGGATAAAATGGAAATTATGATCCAGGTAGTCATTCAGCCTTGTTATCTGTAAGGATGTGATCGCTTGATCGTGTTCAAGGCAACTATGTCTGGTTAATTTAAGATAATCAATTTCTATCTTGATTGTGTCCCAAGTTCATGTTTATCTTTAGATGCACGGTTCTTTGCCTTGAATGTTTGATTCTCAAAAAGTAGTATGGGAAAATCAAGTTTTCTACATGTCTATTATGACTGCACAAGGAGACAGTCTTTTCAAAGACACTGATTGGCTCTACCACCAGAGGAGTTTACTGCTTTCTTGTTTTTCTTTTGTTGATGAGTAACATGAATTAGGTACGACAAGATTAGTGTGAAACAAATGAGGTGATACATACAGGTAGCGCCTATTCAACACAAAATGAGGGATTTTGATAAGGTTTAGAAATGGAAACATATGGCAGACATTTTCCTTGCTGGTAACTATTGCAAAAATTGCATCACTTCATTCCTGTACTGTGAATGTAGATCAGAATGCCTGTCTTTTGCTATTCTAGACATGACATATCACCAGAAGGTCTTTGTTGGGAATTTTTTCTTGAGAATGGGGCTGGAAGCCTGGAATGATAGATTGGAGATAAAAAAATGTGAGGTTAGTAAGAACCCTACGGAAAATGTAAATTTTTTTTTAGCAGGAACATTTTCAGTGAGCTTGAAGTACAGTAAGTACCCATTCACAGTGGGTATCAGAACCTCGGGACCATCGCTTTGAGATGTAAAGAGGTCCTGCTTATATGTGTTACATGTTCTTGGGTGGACTCAACCCCAAAAGCTAGCTCTTGGAGTAAGGGTGGCCTCATGCTTATATACTTCATATTATTTTGGTACCCAGACAATGTGGGACGTTGCTCACGCCCTCCCTCATGTGCAACGTGTTCAATCTGCAGCACATGCCGCGTGCAGGCCATAGACACGCACCCTACCCATCTCTGATCCCTAGCTTTGATACCATGTTACACGGTCTTGGGTAGACCCCAAAGGGTAGCTCTTGAAGCGAGGGTGCCCTAACGCTTATATACTTTATATTATTATTTGGTACCTAGGCGATGTGGGACTTCGCTTCACAATATGTGTCACTGTTGGGTGGATTTTTGATGTTATCTCACAGACTTAGGTATTTTTTTATTCAGTCGTTATTTATTCATATGTATTCTTTCAGATCTTTGCTTGTTATGCCAGATAAAAATTTTTTGGTGATAATTTGGTCAAACAATTGATTTTTCTCTTCTCATCCAGGACAACTTCCTGAGAAAGATGGGGGATAGACATCCACATTTTGGGTTCTTACAATTACTCTCCAGGAAATGCTTGTTCAGTATATTTAGTTCCGAGCACGTCCAATGTATTTTAGATCAACTTTTGAGTGACAAACTTGGAAATAAAAATCTGGAGAATTCCACTGTGAAGCTTCTTCTGGTAAGAGCAATTGTTTCTTATAATTCCTGAACCTTATGATGTGAGGTTATGTAGGTTTGCTTTTGGTGTAACTCATCAGAACTTTGACGTGTGTTCTTCATGCATTCTTATCTTCTTTGCCTACAAATACAAGTTTTTTTCTTTGTTATCTATAAAGTATCATCCCTCCCGAAAAATAATGAATGTCTGAGTCAACATTCCACATCAGTTTGATACACATAATGACAAACACACATCTATGGCTTGACCAATGACACCTATTAGCCCTTCTTCATTTGTTTTTTGGGTGAATAAAATTTTATTGTGAAAAACATAACTAACACTACGTAGTACAACCAGGAGAACCTGACAAAGGAAAGAAAGAAACAGCAAAACTCTACTGGACACCACTCCATCAAAACAGAAACTTAACTTGGTTGCTGAACCAGCATATGAACCAAAATGAAAGAACCTCCTGATGGCCTGGGCTCGTCTCCCTCTATGCTTGGTCGGGATTATAGTTGAGGTATTGCAGGCTAGACAAGCCTGCCAATTCATTGTTTTCCAGAGCTTTAACATCTCTCTCAATTCCTTCCCCCATCTCTTCAGGGCATTTTGCCTTGTTTTGAAGGGCTTTGATACTCTTTTGATCAGAACATGATAAACAGTTGCAGCCAAAGCTAGTTCATATTAGTCCTCAGTTCAATTAATGTGTGGCCCATACCAACTTATCGGACCGTTTAAAGCAAGCCCTCCTAACCTGTATTCTGTGCAATATCTCAGCCCAATCTTTCCCAGAGTAGAACATTCAAGAAAGAGGTGGTCATGAGATTCCACGACTCGACTACAGAGCCCACATATAGAATATTAATCGCCATCTCATGTATTTACCTTGCACTTTAACAAAGTTAAAACTTATTTTCTGTAATATGCAATTATAATAGCAGAATTGCCTATTGTAATTTGTCTACCTGATTCGGGAAATTTTCGATTGTAACCTGTGTAGGGTATCATTAGTGCTTTCCCGTCCCTATTGAGAGGTTCCGAAAATCTGTTCCAATCGTTATTATTAAAAGATGGTGTTCAAATTCATGAAGAGCTGATTCTGATACTGGCAAAGGCAGCCCCACATATTCATATCAAAATCAGGTAATTGTGGTCTTTACTATTTGTTGTGTATTTTTCATGTTTTTTATTACGGGTAAATGGATTGTCATGGTAGTTGTATTTCTTATACACATCTCTGGGTAGTTTCTTCGGTTTCCTTCGTGTGCAGAAATGCTTCATCATAAATTTCAATCATCGTTTCTTGGATCTGCAACATTTGTTGTTGGGACGGAGTAATCATTGCCTTGATTTCTATCTAACTTTGATT